CCATGACCCCCCCTTGGATCCGCCCCTGAGTTATCGAATATTTGGGTAGCTTCAGTTCTCATTTTTGTGGATCCTGAAAATACTTGGTCTGACTATTTTTTTTTTGTAAGGTTCTGCATCTGTTAAAAATTTCGAAAAATCTTGATTAACGCAAGAATAGAGCTTATACAATAAGACATAAATTATGATTCGGGAGGAGTGGAAGAACTTACAGACACACAATAATAATGACCAACGCGGTCACGGACAAATGGACATGTTTCGAAGGATCAATCCTTTATCATCAGCAAATTTGTAAGAAGAAAACAACGCTCATGTTAGTATAAGTATTATTAAAAAGACACTATTTTGAACCGTGCATATAGTGCGGGTGGATATATATAGCTGGTAGGAAAACATTATAACCAGCTTTATAAGAACCTAAATTTCAAAAATTGTTCGATGTAGAGAAAATATTCGAAGGCACCAACATGTGGGTCTGAATTAGTTGAATTAGGTTAACTAATCACAAATGACAATCGCCAAAATGACACTTGACAATAATGACGCTAAGGACAAAACACAACATCAGAATGACACAAGTCACGTCAAAAACCAAGGAATGTTTTGAATCGAACTGACATAGAACACAAAACAGAATTATAGTTAAAATAAGGAGTTGAATAATTTAAGTAGCTCCTGACAAATACTTCACAACCCTAGAATATGAAGTATATATCTTCACCTACTACAAAATGGCGAAACATTCAATAATTACCTGAATACATCGAAGTTTACTTTATAATTTGAGGAAATAAGCTGAGTTCACTTCAGAAGATGCTCGAAATGATTGCCTTGAACTTCTTGACATAAGAACAGCCTATCCGATATTTTACGGCGAACACTTTCCAACTCAGTTATACCAAATATTTATCATTCTCTAATATTCAAGCAGATGCAATTTTACTTCAAAATATAGTATTCCCGCATCAATTTCATCATATAACAATTTTTTCAGTTGACCCGTTCAAAAAATTAAGGGGGGGTTGGTCATTAAAGGAAAGCACTGTATATGAAAAATTGAACATGTCCTATCGATAAGTGTATTTGCCTGAAGCAATTAATGAAGGTAATATTCATTGCAAAATAAGAAATAATGATAAGTCAGAGAAGGAAAATTGACCACTACTACTTCATGCAATAACATTATGTAATTTTTTCAACAATAATTAGTTTTAACGTTCCTATCCTGTTATTATTTTGCATAAAATTGATGTGTGTAAAATTCCACGCAATGTTGAATCACGAAGGTGTCATTCGAGAAAATATTATTATTTTAGATGTATATTCAATAGATAGCGAAGTAGATAACATTTTTATTGAAAACGTGTTTTATTAGCTACTATATATCAACTGTTTGGAATATTCACACATCAAACAAGCAAGATAAACCTTTTAATTTTTTTTCACCAAATGGAGATGGAATAAAATAATATTGAATCATCATACATCATGCACAATAATCGAAACTATCATTTCCCAATAAAGTAATAAAAATAAATCAATTAAATTTGGGAACAAACTAAATAATTTGAATATCAGTGTGAGATTTATGGTGATTTATGACACATTCTAAAAACGCGAATAAATATTACATAATTCTGAAGTGATTTTTTCCTCAAACATCTTCGTCGAAATCAACTGAAGACAGTCCAATTACTGTTACCAGCAGTCACTCAGTATACCTTAAACTGTTACAAATGTACCAATAAACCTAATGGCATTGGTTTACATAATTAAATTAATTTTCTCGAGTTAATTTCACCTGATAATTAGTGAGTAATTGGCCTATCAGACAGACAGACTCTGTTTTTTTTATTCGTACACTCTCACAGACGATGATCCGATCAAGTACAGTCAGCGGCGTATCAAAAATACGAAGAAAAAACAAAGAATAGCAATGTAAATGTCTACTTTATATGTACAACAAATGAAGCGCAGTTGAAATTCCATCTTCTACTTGCTTTGGATTGGTATTTTTTGTTCATCTAGTCGAAATACTATATAGACGAATTTCTCATATAAAAAATGAATCATACTAGACCATTCCGAGCGTGTGTTTCTCAATAAAATTATATGATATCTTTGTGAACCCAAAAGAAAACTCACCACGCCACTGTTCAAAATGACTATAATTATAAAGTAGCCAAAATACTTTGAGTTTTTGCTTCTCCAATAAATCATTGTTGATGAAATCACTGTACTTCACTGGGATGATAACAGTATATTTTCAAACTGTAACAGTATATATTTTCATGTGATTCATATAATTATTGAGCTTACGAAATGAAACGAAATGAAACATACAATTGCCATAATTATTGAAAAGTTGCAAAATTAAATATATCCGTTTATCTCATCTTTGAAAACAGAAAAAAAAACAGAGTACGTTACTGTTAGAAATGAATATAGTTTTCAAGATCAGTTTACTGATATAATATTTTCAAAACTTGATTTGGTGTCATCCTGGCAATAAATACTTTTTTTTTTCAATATTTTTATTTTTCAACCTAGAAAAAATATCGTAGTACGCCACTGTCCGAAATGATAGTACTCGTCACGATCGGTCGACTAATACAATATATTTGAAATTACTTTCTTTGGCCACTAGATTATTCATGAAGTATATATAGGTATATCGTGAATCTTCTCCTTGCCTCGCTTCAGGAATCATAGTGAATCATATTGATGAATATATTTGCGCCAAAAGAAATACACAACGTGATAGGAGTGTCATCCTGCCAATAAATATGATTTTTATTTTTTATTCCCACTTTTGAATCCAGAAAAAATCGTACTACGCCACTGTCCGAAATGAATGCAGTCTCCACGATCAGTCTACTGGGTACAATATTCTCGAAATTAGTAACTTTTTCCATACTACGCCTCTGAAAGTGACTCCTATATTGGGCCGTCGTCCTAATTAGACCGGCAGAGAATTTATGAACATCGCGGAGCCTGATGTCTCCCTTTCCCTCCGCTGTGTCAGAAATTATAGTAATGGTCAATTAAGGGAAACGCTATAATCTAGTTGTGTGTATGGTGTTCCTTTGCGACTCTCTTTTTATCGACACCCGAGTCGGTGCCATAACGAGCATGTTTAAAGAATCGAGAGCCCCTTTTCTCCCTTCAATATTGATTGAAATTATTTCGATGTACGCTCCTTTCATCCAAACGTGACTGAAAAGGCTTTTTTGATGCGAGAATATACAGGGTGTCCCGAAATTAGCCTGCCAAACTACACCTTCGGCTACTAGATAAAAATAGGAAGACAAGTTTCATTGAACATGAGACAAGCAATGTCTTCTATGGGAGCTATGGCCTCCTGGGAGGTGACTCCTGAAGATGATGAATATTTCTTGAATATTTTCGAAACGCCAGTTGATAGTACTTTCCATCCCCAATGCATTGAAAATAAAATCATTCCAAAATTTCATTCAGTATAGTGTATAATACAGGGTGGGACCAGGGCCGATCCTAGCGGGTGTGCAGCGCGTGCCCCGCACGCGGGCGGCCAAAACAAGGGGCGGCCGCAGGCCGCATATTGTGCTATCAAACAAAATTATTTGAAACTCATAAGTCGAATGAATATGCTGCATTTTGAATAAATAAAATGATAGTAAATAGTGTGTTGGTCCATTGCAATTAATGTCTACTTTTTATACACATTCTTATCTTCCCAAATTTTAAATTTCTATTTGAAACAATAACCAAGGGGCATGTTTTGTTCCATCACTGTGCGGTAGCTTATTTATGCATTTCTACCACTTACTAAGAGACTATGAGAGAAAATCCCAAAAAATCTGGAGAACATCCACTTGGTTCAACTACAGACACCATTTAAAATACTTTTCACTTGCTCTTCTTATTGTTCTTATTTTCAGATTCCAGATCATTTTATATCAATTACAATAAACTGTGATATACTAATGTGATGAATTTGAATCCCAACAAAAATTTCGCCTGCGGCGCATTTTTTGCCATAGGAAAATTTTGTCTGAGTTTCTTGGCCGCTCCCGGTATGCACTGAAATGGAGTTATTACCTGAAAGCATTTGACCTTGAACTCAGAAAAATTTCGCCTGCGGCGCATGAAGATTTTGTCTACATTTTTTTTCCGTGTTTTACTTCTTATCCTTGTACAAGTAGTTGAAGTTATGAAGTCATCAGGTATTATAGTTAAAAAATATGAAAAATTCTCTAGAGGGACGGCACATTAGGTTTATGCACGCGGGCGGCCGACACCCTAGGATCGGCCCTGGGTGGGACTACATTGAGAATTGCTCAAACTTTTTTATATAACAATTTGATCTCGGATTATGAAAATCCACACCGATTTACAGAAAAAGAGTGCTATTGTTTCGTATCGAACATATATTTGTATCATTTTCGAGTGAAATCGATTTGAAAATACGTTACACTCACATCTTATGCATGTCATGCCAATTATTTTCAGAGCATAGTGATAACTATAAAAAAAATCAACTATACTTAATTTCCACCGAACAATCTCATATAGAAGCGCGTAAAATAGGAAAATGATGATAGAAAACTACTTCAATTTTTGTGCTGTTTTTTCCATATACACTACGTTGATTGCAATGTTATGCATATACTATCTGAGATGTAAGAATATTTTTAAATTGATTTTACTCGAAAATGATACATCTGATCTCAACGAAACAAGAGCACCTTTTATCTGTAAAGAGGTGTGAATTTTCATAATTCAAGATTGAATTGTCGAAAAAAATGCACAAAAAAAAGTAATGCTTGAAACAATCATAGGATTCAATCCGAATTGCACCCTCATTCCACTAGCAATGACAACTTGATTATATTACCCAAGCCATAGAATCTATGCCCAAGCTCAGGTTGCACCTGTCAAAAAGGAAATCTATGAATCTGAACCTCTACAATAAAATACCTTCTAAAGTAAGGTGCCTGAACTTTCATCAATTTCAGAATGAAATCAGAGCTTTCTTACTGAAAAACTGCTCTTATGCGATCAAAGAGTATCTTGATCTGAGCATGAATGAACTCGAACTTCTGTGATAGACATTTTCCTAGTTATACTTTTTATACTATTTGTGTAGTTTTGTAGTTCTGTGATTATAAACACTTCTGTTTTGTACAGTAGGTACTATTTTATCTGACGATCTACTAATGGGGAAAACCACTGAGAAAAGAAATCCGTGCAAACCTCTTTCAATCAACGAATCATGATTTACATTTTATGTACAATCAATATTATGTGTTGAAGTTGAAGGGAATCGAAAATATATGGTTTTGAAATCAGCATATTCCATTCGATATTTCAAAGAGCCAAATATGATGGTGGATCCGTGACGTATTAGTCCCGAGCTGTAGCTATTTCTCTCTGATACCTAGTCATTCTGCAGTGTTGCAGTGTGATTGGTCAGTTCAAGGACAATAGGCGTGTTGGGAATAAGACGTCTCACCAGTCACACAAATGAATGGCAAATGGCACAGGAATTGTGTGTTTTGAAATGGACATATTCTAATTTATGTTTTTCATCTTCTTAGCATGAATGACAAAATTCAAAATTAATTCACTGGTAGTTTTTCAGTATAGAGTTCACGATAATGTCGTTTTAAAAAATCAGTGGTCTCCCCCATTCAATGTGGGAAAAAATATCTATCTATTTCACTTTCGAGCATCGATTTCTTCTCGAGAAATTCCCTTTTTGTTTTTCGTCGAAGATGCCCACCTCAAAATGCCATCGCGAAACCTCGTGAGGTTTCACGTGAACCAGATCAGAATTTGCAGCGCAAGAAAAAAATATTCCTCGCGGAATATTCAGTAACGAAGAAAGCAGTTGTTATAAACTTCCTAATTTGATCGGCGACATTGCTCTCCACGAACACAAACGATCCCAAATAAGATTCCGCGCCTTCGATTGTTTCGTTTCCGACCACCGGAAACAAAGGCGTGCGATAAAAATTCCTGAAAGGGTCTCGAAAAAAAAAATTACGTGTCCGGAGATGAAAACGACAAAACTCATGGGGTTATAGGGATTTGCCAATATTATGATTGCAAAATGCCATATGCATATGGATATACCCAAAACCGCTTCGTTACTGACATACAGAGTAATTCATGGATTTTGACAAAAAATTCAATCTTTCATATTGAAAACAGGGATTACTCGATTGGATTCTGATGTATGAACTCAACTCAAATGCCCTCACTCAAAACCGTTTTGACCAATCATGAATAGTTTCGACACAAAAAATTTCTAAAGTTGAAAAATCTCGATTTTTCACATCCTCTAACTCTGTAATGATTACTGCTAGACTCCAAATATTATAGATCAATGAAATCAGCTCTTCAGGGAGAATCTGAAAATGGAATGATATACAGGGTGTCCCTTTTAAAAAATCAAAGTTGTTGCTACTTTTCAATATAAGCGGCAACGCCGCAACGCTGAGAATAGAACAGAAATAATTATCCAAGGCACTAACTTTTCAGAATAATCCTGAGTTGCGTTCTCCAGAAACGCAAAATGTGCCATCCACCGTGAATCAGCCTGTATACTACCAAGGTGTATATTAAATTTTTATCACCACTACACTGATAAAAATACCCGATTGGTGACAAAAGAATGATGCTTTTAGATTCTTTTCTCTCCTGACAAAGACAATTTCTTCCTTTCAAATACATTGCTCTCATCTGCAGATTATTGCTGTTTTTGTAATAAGGTTTTGAATCTTTTGGCTGTAAACGCTTTTGAGAGAACATCATCGACCTTGTCTCTAGTCCTGCTTGGTTTGCATCTACCTCAAGATCACAAGATTTTGATACAAGATCTGAAATCGTTCGGTTGAGACCGTTGATGAGATCGAGTCCACCCGAGGTTAACCGAAAACATACCGACTCCGTTTGAGTCATGCGCAATGTATGGGTCGACCCCATCTTCCATCTCTTCTGCATCGTGCCGAGTACCGTCCCGCGTCCCGTTGCCAATGCATTTTAGCGGCCATATCTGTCGTGTAGCGTTGTGCTGTGGATCATGAGCGATTCAGTGGAGTTTGAAAAACTTCTAGATGCGTTGCGTTTGAGCCATATTATGCAAACATTTCAAGGTAAGTACCCACCAATACTTATTCCAGTAGATAGGTATTTCATCATCATATGAAATGTTTCATGTGTTATTTTATAAAATAAATGAGTTTTTTATCAATGGTTGTTTTTTCAGGATTTCCACAATTCTTCGACCAAGGATGAATAAGAAGCTAAAACAAGTTGATGGGATATTTTAATTTTCAAGTATATTTCAACCAATGCAAAACGTTTTTTCGTCAGAACATCAGAACTAAATCTAATATCAACAAACCAATAATGGGGTTTTGTTAAGGATTCATAATAACATGATCCTCAAAATTTTTATAGAAATCAATTGAAATTCTAATTATTATTTCAACATTTTACAGGAGTATCCTCTCAAGAAATCTCCAGAGAATTTGCATCAAGATCATATACATTGTGTTCCAAGACCATAAGATATTGGATCAACCATTTGCTGTATTTACAGCGAAGCCCTATATTTCAATAAAATAATACCATATCTTTCATCTTAAATCTCATAACTTTGAAATGATATCTCAATGATTTTGTCCAAAAATCATTGTTCATTATGATGAGTTCAGGGTATTTTGCTATAAACTCATATATCATTGGGCTAAAGAAATCATGGCAATTACCTCAACATTCCCCATAAGTTGGGAAAACTACGATTTTAAGCCAAAAGCATTAGTTATTAGGGCAAAATCAAAGTTTCTTGCCTCGAATTTATATAATTTCATGCTAAAGAAACTTAGGCGCTTGCCTCAAAGTTTTTGGAATATTGGGTCGAAATGTCCATGCATTCCGCCCTATTCAAATGCTTGGCGCCCTTGAGGTAAAGTCAAATTCCTTCAATCCAAGGAATCCTTTTTATCAGTGTAGCAGGATATTTCAATCACTTTATAGTTTTGTGAAACTGAAATATTGTCGCTATAAGAAAGCACGTCTTTTCAATTTTGATTAAAATCTAGTATCCATGATGATCATGACAGCGTAATATACAGGGTGTTTCAAGAATACCTGACCCCCTTACTAAGGTAGGTAGAACACTGCAAAATAAGTTGGGTTTACCCAGTATAAAAAAATTCGTTACGGCATCCGTTATCAAGATACAAGGTGTTGAAAAAATGATTTTTTTGCACATTTTTCAAGATTATGTCGAAACTACTGGCAACATTGTGATGACATTTTGTATGGATGTTTCTTGGAATCTGACACATCGCATGCATTTGTTTTTATATCTGACTGTCATAGAGGGCGCTAGTTACACGGTTCGTACCGAGTAGTTTTGAACATAACTTTTTTGAGGTTAGATTTGTCAATCCAAATTTGATGTGAACTTGAACATCATTCAATTTCACACCAAAAAGGTACTCTCGGTAATACTGTGTTCCGTTTTCGGAATATTTAGATTTAAAAATGATGAAGTGATTACTGTTGCTGGTAACAGAGCGAGTATTATGAAAAATTATCACCTATTTATTGAAAACCGAAAACAACAATACATTTATGATGCTAAACTTATTGATTTAACAATGAATCACAAGAATAACATCGAAACAGATTTGACTAAGAACATGGATTACACAGTTTTGTTGTATCTTGAGCAGAAAGTCTAAACTACATGGGTGAATTCACGTCAAGAGTTGTGAGACATAATTGAACATCATTTAAATAATGACCTAACAGCTGATCCTCAACTGTTTAGATTAGTTTAGAAGAATAATACATTCCTAAGAAAAGAATATAGAATCGTGTATTCGTCGAATCGTAGGACATTTTGAACACTTACTCTAACTAATTCAATATTTCATGTTTCAATAAAATTCATTTTATATATGCTACTCCAATATTCATGCGATGTGTCAGATTTCAAGAAACATCCGTTCAAAATTGCATCACAATGTTGCCAGTAGTTTCGACATAATCGTGAAAAATTTGTAAAAAAGTCATTTTGTCAACACCTTGTGTCATGAAAACGGATGCCGTTACGACATTTTTTCACTGAGCGAACCCAACTTATTTTGCAGTGTTCTACCTACCCTAGCAAGGGGGTCAGTTTTTTTTAAACACCCTGTATAACAAGTCGTTCTTGATCATTCGAGTGCCATTCTTGCGAATCTCGCATAAGAACAGTGAATTCGGGATAATTATATCAGAGGTGGCTATGTTATTGACTATAGTGGTTCATAAAATGACAAAAACTATCTTGGTAGTGAAAACACACTTTACGCCTTGAGAAGGAGTAAATAATGGTAGGTTCTAGAGCTAGGGACGAGAAAAAAATGTCCTTCCGACTTGCGCATTCCATCGACATTCTGATGATGATAACCAGATGGCAAGGTGACTTTTTTCCTTGATCTTTCGATGTCCGCCACTGTGAACCCAACCCATCGGTCAAATGCCCAGCAGCTCTACCGTTCGCCACAAAAACTAGTCCTCGAATTGCAGATAGGCTTCGGAAGGAACATTTGTATTCTCCGTATGTAGTGGCTACCAAGACACCTCATTTGTCAATATAAATTATTTTCAAAGCGATGTCTTAATTCTTCGATCGAAACGTGAATAAAGCCCTTTCTGCTTATGTTTTATTCAAACCTGCGACAGCCAACAACATAAAGAAAGTGTCAGGAGGCGGCTTTGTCGGGATATAATTGATTTTTTTCGATGGTGGACGCAGAAAACCACTGGCTGTTTTTGCTGCCTCAAGAGTCTAGAGTCTAGAAAAAAATATGGATTTACAAAAAACTCGGCACATTTTATTTAGTAACCTATAGGTACGCCTACTCAGATCCAAGCTCATGAACATCACACGATGAAAAAATGTTATAACACAGACATTTTACTGTGCTATTTGGAATGAAAACCTCATTTTTGATACTCACATTGCGTAAATGTAGAAAAATGCCCAGTCAAGAAAAAGTAATAGAGGTGAGCTGTCTTTCCAAGATTCCAGCAGGAAGTTCATGGGCTTTATAAGTATGGAAATGCGTACAGTTGACGAGATATCAATATCATATCCGATAGTCAAGCAGCCATTAAAGCGCGGAGCTCTATGGTTATCAGCTTCAAAATGGTTTGGGAACAGTTCTATGGATTCCGGGACATTCCAGAGTAGAGAGAAATCAACTCGATAGGAAATGTGCTTCGAACACCCTTTGTACCCCTTTCAAACATCCGTATTCATAGACTCGCGGGCATAGTGTCCTATCAGCCAAAGGGACGATTATATAAAAAATCCATCTCTACCTGCAGCCACTCGCAGACGAGGGCGAAATTCTGAAACTAAAAACTATAGATATTTTCAGTAGGTATAGGTACCAATAATTGGGATTGGACCGAGTTCTGATCTTCAGTTGACTGCTCATTTCACTAAATTCTATAATTCATTATTCATATCCCTTTTACGAAATTCCAACGAATTGTGTATACTTCAAACCTAGACAATGGAAGTCTATTACCAGAAACAGTAAACTATTGAAATACAGTCCACTGAACCATCAATTGAAACAACGTAACGAAATAATATTATGTGGTCCTTCGAGCCGGATATAATATCGGATCACTGGATCTTTATTCGTGTTTAAAGAAGTCGCTGTTTTGGATTTATCTTCGGATGAAGACGTCACTGTTTTATATACCCAGCTCGAAGAACCACATAATTCGTTTCGTTGTATCGATTGATGGTTTAGTGGACTGTATTTCGATAGATTACTGATTCTGGCGATACATTTCCATTGTCTATTCCTGATCGGTTGTTCAATTACAATATAATATCATGCATAGACCTGTCAAACCATTCAGCTTGAAACAAATCGTATCGTGTTTGAATTTGAAAAATCATATTTTTCCGTTTTATAATTATATCTCCTTACCAGGAAACAAAGTGTTTGTGCGACACGAAACATGGAATTTGTCATATCCAGCAGCGATAAATAATTCACATTTCTCTTCGCTATGGATCGAGCTATAATTCATGAAGTATTAGGGAGAGATAGTGGCGTTCTCCTTTCCAACAAATATAAAATTGAAATAAATGCGTAAAATGGGAGGAGCTGAATATATCATGCGTCTATCGGGCGCTAATTATTTATTAGTTATTGCTGGCGCGTCACTATTTCATTGGAAACTGAAGTGTGGTCTGGTGAAGGGAGTTTCAATTTTACTCTGTCCGGCTGAAATACGCTAATCAATACTTGGAGCGCTCCGAGGCGCAAATCTAGATAACAAACGAGAATAACGAATGACATCTGATAAGATGACGTAAAACATTACATATATACTCCCATCGAGAGAGATAAGACACGAGACTTCGTTTCTTGCTACAATTTGTTTCTTAATTATAGCCCTGAAGAAGGTGGACTTCAGCTACCGAAACGTAAGAAAAATCACCATACACAATGAAAACTAATCGTGTGATCTACATACTTGTCATATATAATGAGTTGTGGTACAGGGTCGTCAAAGTCTTTTCAAATATGATTTATATATATCTGCATTTATACAAAAATATTCTTTTTCTCCGATTGGCAGCAAATATTAATTTTGCTGACACATATCAATCAGCAAAGTATTACTTTTCCTGCCTAGGCAGCAAAGTGATTCCTTTGCTGATTGATATGTATCAGCAAAATTAATAATCCATAAATCGTTTATAATTTCCTTCATATTTCATTCGAGACTTCTCCGGCAACAAATTCAACTCTATATTTTTTGCCACCTCCCTTATTTCTGGAGGTGTAAGTACTTCCAGGTCGCTATCACTGTCCATTATATAATGATTAAATATACCGATATTTTTTCGCACAACTGTCAGAATTTTCATGAATTGTCAAACTATAATTATCATGGACAACTACGATTTCTATCAAATTTCATTTTAATTGAACACTACAGGTAAAATAAAGAGATTGTTGGAATTGTAATAATTTGCAATTACAATATCCTCCTATATCATTATGAACAATCGGAGATCGCTGCGCTCGGCTATGAATTCAGCCTCGGCAGTCAATCTACTACTTTGCTGCCTAGTTAAACAAATAACTATTTTCGTCAGAAAACTCTTGCACAGGTGAAGATACTCATATGATATTTTTCATTTGAGGTATCAGAAAAGGGGTAGTAGGTACCACTTGAAAGAACTCTATGAAATTTGTGCAAAAATGTTTTCATTTTGCGAGATATTCGCATTGAAAGTTTCCAAATCGACACTCAGTACACGATTTTCAGGGGAAAATGAAGATTTGTAAAAAGTGATAGTTGGTGAATATAATGCAAGAAATAACAACCCTGGTTGTTAGTGTTTTACATAAGGAGTTTGACATCAGTCAATAAAGATAAGATACAATACAAGTATTTTATACAGGGCGTTTCAATTATATTGCACGAAACGTGACGAAACTTCGGGATCATATATTTTTGGGTGAAAATAAGAAAAATATTCATATTAACTTTTGGCCAATAACGATACGCTTCCGAGATACAGGTGTTAAAGTTCCTTGAAAAATAGTTATAATTCTACAAGGAAAAAACATAGTAGATTTTAGCTCCAGGTTGTGTTTTCTCCCAAGACGTAAACAAAAAACCGTGAGCTAAAATCTAATATTTTCCCGTGTATAAGACACTAGTTCTTTTCTGTGGCAGCAAATAAGGACGAATCGATATTGAGAAGATATTGCATTATATTGAAATCAGTAAATTATCGACGTCAAATTTGAAGATTTTAACGGTAATGACACCTGCGTTACATCAGGCATCTTTATCATTCTTTTGAAGTGGGTCTGATTCCGTGATTTGATTTTAATAAATGGCGAATTTAGTGGTTTTTTAGTAATTTACGTAACCGCGAAGTCGAATGGAAGATAAATGGACTTGCAGTTCTTTCCCAGAGACGGTGTTATTGATGGCTTATTCTTCGGAACTAAAGCACAATAAAAGCCATCAACAGAGTATATAATATATGTTAATATATATCCGGGAAAAAAGTGCTCAATTTTCTTCCGTGGGAATATAGGTCCATATTTCAGTTTCACAGAACTGAAATGATTGAAATGTATTGCTAGAGGTGAAAAAAATGTAATATACATCTCGGTATAGTAAAGAATTTCATACCACGGGACCATTTATATCCCACGGCTGAAGCCTCGGGATATAATCTTGGTACCTGTATAGTACCTACTGATATTCTTTCCTACCTTGGTGTCTGAATAACTATTTTGCAGATATGCCAGTTTGATTCCACACCGACGAATGTAGAGGAATTATTTTTGATCTTGATGGATACGTGTCCAACAAAATTGAATGGAGAACTTCCTATTGTTAAAGAAATACCCATATGGCATAATAATGAAGTGTCTATACTGCTTGATATAGTAGGTTTATTGGTATTTAAAAACATTGATTATTCTGATGGATGCTTCATGGCGAGTATTCCTTAGGGCCTTCATTCATCTTCATATCCATCTGGCAGAGCATTGACTTTGGGATTGTGGAAAAAGGATCTCACCCCATCCCCCCACGGGTACCTCTTGTCTCTCTTCCTCAGATACTCGTACTTGACGAAGGGCGGTCTTTCCTCGCACTCTGCCCTTTGTTGTTTCCGGAGGGCGCAATTCGCCATTGCCAGGGCAATCAGGGGCAGCCCCACCACGAAGAACAAAGTCTTGTAGATCTTGTAGCCCCCCACGTGCGACGGGGGTGGGATGCCCCCCCTGAACGGGGGGCATTTGGGTTCGTGGCTGGAATGTGTGGGAGTTGAGTGGATTGCACGCTGGGTGAGGATTCTGATGAGGTTGTTCATTACGGTATGTTCGCTGGAATTTTGACGTGAAGTATAATTTTTTGAAAGTGACAGTTCTGAATTGTCGACGATTTGATTTGTCATGCTGTGACAAGGATATGCAGAGTCGTAGTCATCATAATATTATGTTATAATGAGGGCTATTAACATTTTCACTCTCACCAGAGGTGAGGTCATTGTCAAAGTCAAAAATTCCGAAAGATTGCCGGATAGACCTAAAGACTATATATGGTCTGTTTTATTGACAATATTCGTAAAACATGATGTTGAATATTTGAACAAGTAAAACCTTCAAGTTATATCGAAAGACTTGAGCCGACTTATGTTTTTTTACTCTTAATGTGGAACTTCTTACATTGCCTGAGCAAAGGTCGAGGGGTGCCAACATATATATCTGCTCAGACAGCCAAGCCGCATCATTTTTTTCCATGCACATCAAAGATTACATGGGACTATTTTGAAACACTCATACAACTGGGAAAGGACAACAAAGTCACACTTATGTGGGTTTCAGGGCATGATGGAATCAAAGCAGCATCTGCACTCTTTGGTCCTGAGCCCTTTTGTGAGATAAGGAACTCAGGAAATGGAAAGAAAGTCCTCCTACTGGAGAGCTACTCCAGGTCAAAGACAACCATTCGCAGAACCAAGCCAAAGAGCTACTCAGCCTCAGCAAACCAGAGCTAAAGCTCATCACAGGCTTTCTTATAGGACACTGGGACACTGCCCTCTGAGGTACCACCTCAAAAAGATGGGCATGGCGAAGATTGACACTTGCCGCTTTTGCAACAATGCGACCGAAATCGCGGAACACATACTTTGCTCATGTAAAGTATTATAGTCCGCCAAAGGCTGAATCACCTAGAGCAGGTCTATCTCACACCTGCCGAGATGGAAAATTCAACCATCAGAAAAATTCTAGGCTTCATCAGAAGTCCAGGATTAGAGGACCAAAACTAGATAATGGTAATCACAATAGATCCTCTAGGTCGCAGTGATATATAATCTCTATACATTGACCATAGGGTAAGGGTAAACCGAGGGGTAAACAAACAAATGTATGCATTGACGGAGAAGGAGATATCGTAGGAAGATGCCAAATGACACCAAAATAAGTATATGTATCAGTTCAGTGGCCCGTTTTGGTGGACAATATAATGTTGGCTCTCATTCTAAATGAAGAACGAAGTAAAGGAATGTCCGGATCTCTCTGATGTGTAGTGCATAAAAACAATCCTATCATCCTTTGCTTTTCATTTCAGGGAAGTGAATTATAATGGTATGAAAGTACTGCAAGTTCGAGCACAAAACATGTTGTTACATTAGCATGATTATATCTGTGAAGTTTGGGTACAGGTACTGCGGGTAAGTTTGATTTAGTAAAATACATGACATTGGATGGTGTGCTTCTTATCCATTGGATAGCGTACAGTATATATTGTTTCAATTTTGATTTCTTTAACATCTAGATAAATCAATATACGTATTCTCCAGTTGGATATAGTCAAATCCGAGGTCAAATCCATATGTCCAATTGTCGATAATTTGATTTGTCATACTCTGACAAGTATATAAAGAGTCGTGAGTAGTGATAACATTTCGCCAATCGAATTTCCTGCGGCACGTTAGTGACCAACGAAGAAAATTTCCAATAATCAAGGATACAACTCCATTAGATTTTTTTCAAAAAAAGATCTCCTGATGTAACTCTAAAGGACACAGTTATATAGAGAAAAAACGGAAAAACGAAACCAAACTGCACTATTTCGTCACAGACCACAGACTAAATTTTGCAACCACGAAAAGATATACAGGGTGGGACCAAACAAGAATTTATGCATATTTTCACCTCCATGACATTCAGGAACACCGTGTATAAGTATAGCCCTTTACTCACGCATCTGCAGGAACCTAGCTAGTCCTGCGTCCTTGATGATGTGCGTCCCTTTTATGCCCTATATCGTTGCCCTGGCCAGTAACAAAACGCCAGTCGAAGGCTCGTTAGTGGATCAGGTCAGATGTCAAAGGTTTACAGTTCCCTGTAATTAGTTCGACGCGTTGCCACCCATAGTCTAATGCCCACAGCTGTGTGACGTCGAAAGGGGGGTAGTTCGGGGTTGGGAGGGGGGTAACTCATGTTAGCCAAGAAAAACAACATGCAGGGTGTTGAAAATGAATGGGTTTTCTGATGAGGAGACCCGCTCAGTGAATATTGAAGATCTGCTAGTGAAAATTGAACTAAAAACTGAAAACATTGAAAATACCAAGTCTATAAGAATCAATTGAGGTTTCGAATACGGGAAGGGGGGTTTATAAATGAAGAAAACAGATTGAAAAAAGACTTGAGCAAACATTTTGATGAATCCCACCAGTATTTTGGTCGAGAATACCTCCATGTTCATGAATTTCAAGAAGAACTGAAACTAACAAATCCCATGGCCATGGGCGAAAGGTTTTTTGAATAAATAATCAACTATACGGTAGGTATTTATTATTTCACAACCTGAATCCAAATCCCAAGAAGGGACTCAGTAAAAAATCCCAAGAACTAACTCTATTCAAGCAAACTTTCCCCATCCACAGCCTTGTATGATGTAGGTACCTATTTCACATTTTGCATTTCAACAGTTTTTACAATCGTTATTTATCAGCATGTTAATGCGGCCACTGCATTGGCCAGACGTTGGTTGGTAATTTCCATAGATGAATATGTATATGAATGCAGAATCGAGGAAATTATACCCTTTTAACAAAACGGACAAATAAAATTTGATTCTCCGTATGCCGCAGAACCGCCCATCACACAAAAATTCCCCCCAAAAGGAAACCGTCTTTCGTTCTATCTCCCCGTTTTCTGCGAAAGTGAAACATACCCCGCGATCCAAGTTAGGTATGTACACATATATCACGATGATTTATAATCTCCACCAGCGTCGCACCTACAGATATTTTTGTCAATTTCAAAGTACAAAATTGAAGGGGTCTGTTGTAGCATTATAAGTGGTATACATCCTGTATTATATTAGATTGAGTTATTTTGCTATCTAGGTGAGGTTGTCATGTAAAAATGTTTGAGATATGAATTGACCAGCAGCATGCCTTTCAAAAATGTGGCGAGCTTAGAAGATACAGAGTGTTCAGGGGAAAATTCATTTTCAAATTTCGATCTCAATACCTCTGGTCGACTATTTACTTCAAAATTCTGTTTTTCAGAATGTTAAAAGGGAAACACAGATCTTTTCAAGAGCGAATAACTAAAAAACCGTTACAGCAAGACAATTTTAAAAGAGTACCTACTTTTTTATGTAAAATGCAACGTGCTTCCAAATTTTCAACGTGTTTTGACCATTATTCAATAAGTGCCACTATCGTCCTCCATGAGCAATCACAAAATGAGTTACAAATTCTTTTTTCTCAGGTCGAAAAACCTGAAACTACAAAATTGTATGTGTCCATACTTGCAAAGTTTGAAAATAAAATCTACCCCTTGAACACCCTGATGTACCTCTTAAACCAGCCGCACATTCATTTTTATAAGGCATGTTATATAGGCTAAACCTTCATATTTTGGTATTTACTCACCCTGTATAGTCGAACGAGGAGACACATGTGTCCTATTGGTAATTTTGGATGTATCTGTATATTTTGAGCTCAGGATTCTATATATTGTTGAAATATTTCCAATTTGTAATGAAACACCCTGTTGTTGAAATATTTCCAATTTGTAATGAAATACCCTGTATACAGATCCTCTTATGGATATGTTCCGTTAATCAACAGAGGTTACCGATGCTTTCAGGGCCGGTACCAACAATTTTGACAATGGTTATCTATCGGTGACTATATACGGTTGTGGTTTATTTACGGAATGCCAGTCATTTGTCAAATTATAGTTTTGATCGTTTTTTAATCATGCATGCTCGCCAGTATTTGATCTTCAACTGTGGTTCCTAATCATTATGCACAGGATGTAGTGTCCTGAAATGAAAAAAAACGTCATCATACTAAAAATGTATGGAATATTATTAATTTACCTCAGTAAACGAATTCATCGGAACTGAACTCAAAACGCAATATTTGGAATGGGAATATTGTTATTCTTTGTAATTTGTAAATAATCCGTGCGGGTCCTGATACAATTATGGCTGGAAGAACCTCACCAATCAGTTCATCACTATCAATGCTCGGCATCACGGTATCTGACAGTTTATCTTGGCATGACCATGTTGCCAATATAGCCAGAGCTGCCTCTCAAAAGCTGGGATTCCTCTTCCACGCGAAGAAGTATTTCATCTCACAACAGCTTCTGACACTCTACAAAGCCCAGATTCGACCATCCCTTGAGTAATGTTCGCACGTCTGGGGATCAGCTCCAAAACACTCCCTGGGGTTGCTGGAGTCGGTTCAAAGAAGAGCAATCAGGCTCATCAATGACCCAACTCTGACAAGATCACTGCAAACTGTACAACATCGGAGAGACGTTGCAGACCTATCACTCTTCTATCGCTACTATCATGGACGATGCTCTGTTGAATTGTCATCAGCTGTTCCCCCTGGATTGACCTTTGTTCGCCAAACGCGGCTGGCTCAAGTCTCACACCAATATGCAGTCAAAATTGAAACACCTAGAACAACATATTTCAAGAACTCCTTATTTTGTAGGATATCTTCACTGTGGAATTCTTCACCCACAGATGTATTTCCAGCGAACTACAGAAAATACAGGGTCGTTCTGGTGACAGTGAATCTACCGTTTTTTCCAACAACCGAATTCCGTAAATAACCATTTTTCAAGAACCAACCGAAAACTTCATATTTACGTAACGGAAAGCTACTTACCGAAATAACCAAGTTGATTTACTGAACATACCCTTTAGGTATGTACATACGTAGTAGTATGTAGAGTGATCGAAACGAAATCATTATTTAGTCGAATAGTCATCCAGCGGCATCGTTAGGTGGTGTTGTGTTTGTTGTTCGGAGGCATAGACTTATAATAAGTCTATGGTTGTGTAATATTGCAGAACAAAACATGCGTGATGATGAACATTCTCGAAACAACTGTTGATACTCGATACGAACGTTATTCTGAGACACTCCGTATATTGTACTCATAGGTAAATTTCTCATCGATTGTTGCTTGTCCTCGATCCAGTGAACCAGTCATCTATTGTTACTATTATCATTCCCTGTAGC